TTTCCAATAGTAATTTCATAATCTGTTAACAAGCTTCTCCTATATTCGATTTTACTGTTGTTTTTTACAGTTATATTACAAACGAAGAAGAGCTTTAAAAATACAATTATTCAAAAAAATCGCACCATCTAAAAGCCCATGACTTCTTCTTATAAAACAAACTCTATCTCTTCAATTGTTGTTATTGTGGGATAACGAAAAATTAATTTTTTTTTAGCTTTTCACGGGATGTAATATTTTTCGTTAATACTATAATATCTATGTTTTGAGTTTACCGATGAAATAAGCACTATCCAATATTTTTTCTATTAATTTTTCGTCAGAAAAGCACCTTTTTTAATTTTTCAACAAAACTGATGTTTTCACCAAAAAGCCAAGGCTATAGCCCATGTTTTTTCCAAAATTTTGAAAAATTGTTTTTGCTCATATTTCAATACAAAGATACCCTTGATGTAAGACTTTCAAAATGCAGAACCTTTCATAAAAATTTCCAATAGTAATTTCATAATCTGTTAACAAACTTTTCCTATATTCGATTTTACTGTTGTTGTTTTCTTCGTTTACAATATAACTGAAGAATAATCGTATTTTTAAAGCTCTTAAACAAAATCCCACCATCTAAAAGCCCATGACTTCTTCTTATAAAACAAATTCTATCTCTTCAATTGTTGTTATTGTGGGATAACGAAAAATTAATTTTTTTTTAGCTTTTCACGGGATGTAATATTTTTCGTTAATACTATAATATCTATATTTGAATTTACCGATGAAATAAGCACTATCCAATATTTTTTCTATTAATTTTTCGTCAGAAAAGCACCTTTTTTCATTTTTCAAAAGAAACTGATGTTTTCACAAAAAAGCCAATGCTATCCCCTATGTTTTTCCAAAATTTTAAAAAATTGTTTTTGCTAATAATTCAATACAAAGATGCCCTTGATGTAAAAGTTTCAAAATGCAGAACCTTTCATCAAAATTTCCAATAGTAATTTCATAATCTGTTAACAAACTTTTCCTATATTTGATTTTACTGTTGTTGTTTTTTCATTTCTATTGTAAGCGAAGAAGAGCTTTAAAAATACGATTATTCAAACAAAATCCCACCATCTAAAAGCCCATGACTTCTTCTTATAAAACAAACCCAATCTTTTCTATTGTTGTTATTCTGGGATAGCGAAAATTTAATTTTTTTTAGCTTTTCACGGGATGTAATATTTTTCGTTAATACTATAATATCTATATTTTTAGTTTACCGATGAAATAAGCACTATCCAATATTTTTTCTATTAATTTTTCATCAAAAAAGCACCTTTTTTCATTTTTCAAAAAAAATATTTTTTCTATTGATTTTTGATCAAAAAAGCACCTTTTTTCAGTTCTAAAAAAAGCTGATATTTTCAACAAAAAGCCAAAGCTATAGCCCAAGTTTTTTCCCAAATTTAGAAAAAAAAATGTTTTTTCTCATATTTCCGTACAAAGATGCCCTTTAATATAAGACTTTCAAAATGCAGATCCCTTTATCAATATTCCCAATAGTAATTTCATAATCAGTTAACAAATTTTTTCCTATCTTCGATTTTACTGTTTTTTTCAGTTAAATTGTAAACAAAGGACAGCTTTAAAATTACGATTATTCAAACAAAATCCTACCATCTAAAAGCCCATGACATCTTCTTATAAAGCAAACTCCATCTTTTGGATTGTTGTTTTCCTGGGTTAGCGAAAAATTATTTTTTTTTTTTAGCTTTTCACGGGATATAATATTTTTCATTAATGCTATAATGTCTATATTTTCAGTTTTCCTACAAAAAAAGAACTATCCGATATTTTTTATTAATTTATTGTCAAAAACTCACTTTTTTCATTTTTCATAAAAATTGATATTTTCACCAAAATTTTGAAAAAAATTGTTTTTCCTCGTATTTCAAGATGCCCTTGATATAAGACTTTCAAAATGCAGATTATTTCATCAAAATACCCAATAGTAATTTCATAATCTGTTAACAAATTTCTCCTCTCTTTGATTTTACTGTTGTTGTTTTTTCACTTATATTGTAAACAAAGGACAGCTTTAAAAATACGATTATTCAAAGAAAATCCCACCATCTAAAAGCCCATGACTTCTTCTTATAAAACAAACTCCATCTTTTGAATTGTTGTTGTTGTTCGGGGATAGAGAAAAATTATTTTTTTTTAGCTTTTCACGGGAATTAATATTTTTCGTTAATACTATAATGTCTTTATTTTGAGTTTACCGATGAAATAAGCACTATCCAATAATTTTTCTGTTAATCTTGCGTCAAAAACGCACGTTTTTTCATTTTTCAAAAAACTGATATTTTCACCAAAAAGTAAAGGCT